CCAGGCGGGAGTACCAAACGCGCCTTCCTCGCCGCGTCACGCAGGTAATCGGGCCCCGAAAGCCGGAGGGCAGCGGCTGGGACCCTGACCCGGCAGCCCCACCGGAGAGTGGGAGCGTGCCGCGAACCCCATAACCCGTTTTTAGCCATGGCACTTATAGGGGAAGAGTCCCTGTTTTGGGGTTGGGCAAAGCGCCCCGCCCTCTGCTCACGTCTGAAAGGCTGCGGAACCCCCAGTTACCTGCGCTGCTCTCTGGGAGAACCCAGACACGGGTCGGTCGAGTCAGCATCAACTACGACCCCTGCACCCCCGTTTCCTGTCGGGTGTATGGGTCCTTCCTAGCCTCCGTGATAAAGGCGAGGGGCGATTGCTTTCCTCGGGCCCAGAAGCCCATCCAAACAAGGGTGAGCCCCTATGGAGTCAAAGGTTCGATTTCAAATACAATTTTTTTTTAAAGAATCCTGGATGGTTTTAGAAATATGGCCCAAATTAGTATTTTCCGTTAATCTCTTGTCTCAATGTCTGTGATTCTTGAACGCCAGTCCATATGGATGGAGATTTTCGTGGAGAATAAACGGTTTGTAGAAATCTTTCAACAACGAAAGGGTGAGCAGGCAGTGGAGGAAGGGACAGGCTGTGGCCGAGTGGCTGGAGGCCCAGGACAGGTCCCCTCGGCCTGCCCCACCCCGGGAGGAAAGCACCGACCCTCCCTGACCCGCCTCCGGGCGCGGCAGAGTGTCTACGCCACGTGCCCCGGTTTGGCCCCTTTTGAGAGGAGGTGTGGGTAGAAGGGTTGCGCTGGCAGCAGGAAGGACACTCCGTGTTGGGGTGAGTGGGGGCGCTGCACCGACCTGCGTCTCCGTCCAAGCTTTTGCCGGGCTTGCCAAGGAGGGGACGGAAGCCCGCTTCTGAGTGATGATTGAGAGCCACGAGGTAGTGACGCACTAGGAGGGGGATGGGGGCGCTATCCGCGGGAAGAGACTTTGATTGGGGTTGACCGTGTCCGTGGTGCTGAAGTGCCTCAAGCTCCGTCGTCTGCGTACTTCCCGGGCTGCGGCCTGCCTCGCGGTTCTATTCTGCACTTTTGCCAGAAATAGCCCATCTCCAAGGCAATGGCCAGAAGGGAACTGGCCCGACCCTTTGCAGATGGGTTGATGTTAGTTTCCGGCGGGCAAACGTGAGTCGCCTCAGGGCTGTAGATAAATAAAGTGTATGCGGAACAGGCTTGATTACCTATATGCAAGTACACATAGTGAGCATAAACATGAATCTCATCTGTACATATGTAGGATAAAAGTATGTACACCATCACACACTACAAGTCACACACTTTTCCAGAGCTTTTTAGTAATCCATCGTTATTTTTGACACCTCTATTGTTTCTGAACTCTGCAAAACCATTACTTTTCATAATCATCTGTTCCAAAGTCACAGGGCCTGTGGATTAGTGTTTGATATTTTGCAGAGCAATTATTTACACATATAGTATTTTCATTCCAAAATAAAGATAGTCTAGAAAGATATAAAATTGACATATTAGGTATATACAAAGTAGATATACCTAAAGGAAGTTTTAAAAAAAAGAATTAATGAAAATTTTAATACAGAACAATATCTAGATAATAATCTTATGGGAAGTCATCTGAAGAAAATGTGATTGAGATGTATTATAATTCTGGCAATTTCAAATATACTGGTGTTATATGGTTTATGAACATCTTAAAAGTTACAGAGATATCTTTCAAAACATTGATATCTATGGTTTTTCTCACACAAAATATGTTCATTGTAAGAAGTTTAGATACTAGAGAAGTGCATAAACCCAGAGAAAACGAGATCTTAGCTCTTTTCGGGCCGCCCCCAGGCACCCCCCTTCGTCAGGAAGGACATCCGGTCTAATTAGCATATTACCCTTTTATTATTATAGATTACTTTTTAAACTCTACGTTTTTACTCCCACTTCATTTCTTTTTAATTTTTTTATCTTCACCTGAGGATATGTTTTTTGTTTCTGTTTTCTATTTTTTTAAGAGAGACAGACAGACAGAGAAACAACCCAGGATCAAACGCACAATCTAGATATGTGCCCTGACCAGAAATCGAACCCACAACCCTTTGGTGCATGGAATGACACTTAGATCTAGCTAATCTCAGCAGTTGTTTGTCTATCTAGCAACCTGACACTTTGCAGTTATTATAGAGGTTTAAACCCTCCTCAATTATTAGGTGTTTAAGAAGTCTGCTTCCTGGTGACCCTAGTAGAAATATACTCTTTCAGTTTGGGATTGGAATTTGATGGCGAGAAAAAGGTGATGGCATTAATCATATTCTAACCAGGCCCACTTTTTTTTTTTTTTTAAATATTTCGCTGGTAATGAGTCATGTTTCATCTTCCTTGCTGAGGCCACCTTGCACCATGGATGGTATTCTTACACACTCTGATAAGTCACAATTCCAGGATGTTATGGGCTACTGCTATATTTCCATTCTTATCTCATGTTTCTCCTGCATTATTTTGATTATAAAATTAGACAAAGTACTCTTTTCCATCGCCACACATGGTTTTCTTTCTGCGGTTCTGCTCTTAGCAATAGATTCTCCAACTAACCAAATTGTTATATTCACTGACACTGTCTGCTGGCCACTGGCATGGGTATGGGAAGGAGAATGGTAATCACACCAGTACCTCCTCCTTTCTCACTTTTCATCTATCTACCTTCTAGTTTGGGCACAGGAAATACCCTTCTATGTGGTAGGGAAATGTCAAAGATGAGCTAAGATCACAGAGCTTTTTATCCTTTGTGGACAAAAACTTTATTTTGCCTTATAAATGTTAATGTACATATATAATTTTCAAAATTTGGCACTTACATAGCATTATACACATTAAACTATTTATTTGCTTTAGTTTCTCCTATAGTCATTGCTGTAGTAGAATTATATGTGATCAATGGGCCTGTATAATATTTTACATGCACTTAACACTATTTCACAGTTTTAATTATATATGAACTCAATCCACATGCCAGTCATCTTTACTCAAGTTTAGTTAATCATTCCCTGACTTATCAAAATCACTTGCTTTGTATCTCTTTCCTTTTATTTAAGACTCCAAAGTACCAGCAGCTTTACTGAACTCTGACTTTTATTTTAAGAACTTGATTAAGGAGCCAGGCTGGTATGGTTCAGTGGTTGAGCATTGGCCCATGAACCAAGAGCCAGGGTTTGATTCCTGGTCAAGGCATATGCCTGGGTTGTGGGCTCGATCCCCAGTAAGGGGTGTGTAGGAGGTAGCTGATAAGTGATTCTCATCATTGATGTTTCTATCTCTCCCTCTCCTCTCTCTGAAATAAATAAAAACATATTTTTAAAAATTTTAAAAACAGCTTGATAAAGGAAAGTAGAAATATTAGGTAATCTAATTTCCCATTTATTTTACCTCTGGTCTCTGTGTAACTCTGGATGAGCCATTGTTCTACATAGGGTGAGGATCCCAAAGGTGAATAAGGCTGCTGATGGTGGTAATGAACTAAAGCCAGATACTCACATTACTTCTTGGATTCCCTTAATTTCGAGTTAGGAGATAGAAGATAAGAGTTAGGTTGCAGAATGGTGGCAACCAAAGCTCTGAATCACGGAATTAGAGGTCTCCTGTTAAGAGAGTGACTTTCTCCAAAGCAGGCAACTATGCTACAGGACTCATTCATTCTCCCAGCATTTGTTGAGTCTGACATTGTCTTAGGACCTGGGGATACCAAGAAGATAAGAACATGCTCAATCTTTGTTCTTGGAACAGTAACACTTTATCAGGGGTTAGTGTTACATACACAATTCACAGTGATACTGTGTGGCAAGTACTATAATAGAGCCCCAAAGCAAGTGTACTTGAACTCAGAGGAGGAACAGATTGTTCAGTGAGAAGCTTCTCGAATAGTTCATCAGGAAGATTGTGGGGATGTGGGTGGTAGTTTGCCTGAGATTGTTTTGTTTGGTAATAAGTAGTTATGACCTCAAATTGGGCTGGAAGATGACAGCCTGGATTTGGAGCCTGGCTGCCATAATAAGCACCAAAGTAAGCTTCACTTATGGCTATTATTATTATTTGAGTAATGTTAGTTTCTACTTTGTTGGGGTTGTTGTGGGATTAAGTAAAATAATAACATTTAGAGAACTTGTTATAAGTCTGGTAATAGTCTAGTCTTTTTTTTTTTGCCTCCCTATAAAGTTGCATGTAAATTATTCTGGACAAACGATTATTGATCCTATTGTCAGAGCTCTCAAGGATAAAATGACTATATAAACCCTTGTGCCTTCTAAAACTGTGTGATAATTCTAATCTGGAAGTCTCTTTTGATGTGTCTTAAATCCTAGTCTGCCATTTTTACCAATTTTCATGCTATCCCCAAGCAAAATAGGTTTAGTCTGGAATTGTCATTACTTTTGCTTTGTTCTTTAGTACTCTGATGTTAAAGCAAATAACATATTTAATTTTATAATTTCCTTCCTTTAATGTGTATAGCACTTGTGTCTGTTTTGTGGCATGTTACTATAGGTATTTTCTCTCAAATGAACATGTAAGTTTCTCTCTTTTTTAATCTTCACCCAAGGATATTGATTTTTAGAGAGAAAGAGGGAGAGAGAGAGAGAGAGAGAGAGAGAGAGAGAAAGAGAAAGACCCATCAGTTGCCTCCCATACAGGCCCCAACTAGGGATCAAACCCACAACCTAGGTGTGTGCCCTGACTGGGGATTGATCTTGCAACCTTTTTGTATACAAGAGGACACTCCAACCAACTAAGCACCCGGCCAGCGCAAGAAAGTTTGTCTTAATCTTATCTCTTATAATGTCTTAGCATCGAAGACACTCAATAAATATTGATAAAATGACTGCCAGAACAGCTGTTGTAGTCTCAGGCTGACCTCAGAAATATGATCTCCTCAATAGGAGAGATTATAGAAAAGAGTAGTTATCCAATTTTCCCCAAATAATAAAGTGACATTGTATGGGGGGGAAAAAAGAAAGGAAAGAGTGGTTAAAATGGTGAGAGAGCCCAAGCTGGTTTGGTTCAGTGGATAGAGCATCAGCCTGTGGACCAAAGGTTCCTGGGTTCAATTCCCATCAAGGGCACGTACCTCAGATGCAGGCTCCTCCCCAGCCCAGGCCCTGGGTCAGGGCGCATGCAGGAGGCAACCAATCGATGTGTTTCTCATATTGATGTTTCTCTCTGGCTTTCCCTCTCCCACTTTCTCTAAAAATCAATGGAAAAATATCCTTGGGCGGGAATTAAAAAAAAAGGATGGTGAGAAGACTGAAAACCATAGTTATATATGAAATAATAGAAAAAATAAAAGATTTTCAGTCTGGAGAAGAAAAACTCATGATAGGAGGGTAGGAAATAGTAGTTCCTGATATTGAAATGTTGTCATATGGAAGAGGGAATTAGTTATTGACTCCAGAGGAAATACATAAGAACAGACTCTGGAAATTATATGGAGAATTTTGACTCAATGTTAAAAAATAATTTTCTAACCATCAGAATGACTTCCAGGTGGCTGCTTTGAGGAGTGACTTTCCTGTTTTCATGGGTATTGAAACAGAAACTGTACTATTGTTGGGAATGTTGTAGAGGATATAGTTACTTAAAAAGGAATTGAATAGATGAATTCCAAAATCTTTTTTAATTCTCATGGTGCTTAATTCTGCGTATATTATTAAGGTATTGTATATGATTTACCCTATATTAAATATAGACATGCTAGTGTATATATCATATATGTGTATATGTAAAGGTAGATACACATTTGTATATATGACTTATATAGTCTCAATATCACAATTTTGCCTAAATTAATGAAGGGTAAAAATTACTTTTCAGCCTGGTCAAGTGGCTCAGTTGGTTGGAGCATCGTCCCATACACCAAAAGGTTTTGGGTTCGATTCCCGGTCAGGGCCTCCTGCATATTCCCTACTGGGGATGGAATCCGCAACCTTGGCATGTGCCCTAACCAGGAATCCAATTGGCAACTTTTCCATCTATGGACGATGCTCAACCAACTGAACCATACAGGTCAGGGCTGTGACCGTTCTTCCTTCCTTCCTTCCTTTTCTTTAGTGACCTTGACATTTTTTAAAGTTCAGGCAATTCA